AGACAGCTATAGATTATTTCTCTCTCCTTAATTCAGAGTCACTCAGAAGATGACAGTCTTTTGCTTTATCTATGTTATAATTTGAAGTCATACGTTGCTGTAGCTACTAGGATGCATTTGTTTGCTAATACGTTTTGAGGCTAGTGTTCTTTGTTAACATAAGCATTTAACCCTTTATTGTTCTATAGAATGGGTTGTTCATAAAAGTCACTTCTAGAAATGCAGGTACTGGTGGCAATCCTCTGTTGGGGGAACAGGCAGCCGAGGAGTCAAAGGAACACATTGCAAATGCTCTTAAAGGTTCGGATATGGTGTTTATAACAGCAGGCATGGGTGGAGGTACTGGATCTGGTGCTGCTCCTGTTGTTGCTCAAATAGCCAAAGAAGCAGGTTATTTGACTGTTGGTGTCGTCACGTATCCGTTCAGCTTTGAAGGACGTAAAAGATCTTTGCAGGCAGGTGCCGTTTTCATCCTCTTTGAAGAAGCTAATTGTGATTGTTGCTCTCCTGAACTTTTGGAGATTTCTATCTTATGACATTTAAGTGACATCCAAAATAAACAGGTAGGATATTTAAGGGAATAGAAGAAATGTAAGAAATTAAAGAGCAAGAAGTTAAAAAAGATATAATTTGGTCTGGTTCAACTATTTGCTTCAGATCCAAAAAATGGGGTTTCTGTCCCTCTATAAGAACTAGAAATATTTGTGGTTAAATGCAATTTAATATCCATGAAATCTTCGAGCATGGTTAGTGTGGAATTCACTTAGTTTAAATATTATGCAGAGTATGACAAATTGACAACAGGTTGGCTGAGGCAGTGCTGGGAAAGAAGATAGTAGGGTAGCATGATGGTTGTTTGGAGTTGTTTTTAAACGTGTCAGTGAAGTTTTACTAAGTGATGCTTCAACTTTAAGGCATAATGCTAATTGGATCCAAGGCATCTTAGGGTATGTTAAGGGGTTTCTATCAAATTAAGGCAGAGTTGCTGGATCCGCTGTTTGGCTCCTCGATACGGAAGGTTTGGGGGTGTGGTTTACCATATGTGTGTGTATCGTGGGGGTGGGGTGGGGGTGGGGGTGCTGTGCTTGGGATACACCAGCCTTTATTAGAAGAAAATGGAAATATTCATAAATAGGTGGCGGTTGGTGAATCTAAAGGATTTTGAGTACTTTTGAAGGCAACATTTTTCAGTAGTCTAAACCTTAACAAGATTCTCAGAGTTCTAGTAACTGGTTGATTTTTCTTTTCCATGCCACTATCCTGTGTTCCTATCTCCCAAATTATTTCATGATTATAATTTTAGCTTAATGATCTCCAGGCACTGGAAGCAATTGAAAAACTTCAGAAAAATGTAGATACTCTTATAGTAATTCCCAATGATCGTCTTCTGGATATTGCTGATGAGCAGACACCACTTCAAAATGCTTTTCTTCTTGCTGATGATGTACTTTGTCAAGGCGTCCAAGGAATATCTGATATAATCACTGTGAGTTCCTTCATCCAAATGCAGTATCTCTTTATCTGCTTCAAGGAAGTTCTTTTCTATATCAGCTAAGGTTCCATAGAAGTTCTTTTCTTTTTCTTTCAGTATCTGTTCCACATAAGTTCTCTTTTGAAATTTCATGGTATAGTTTTCTTTATATAAAACGTATATGCTGAGTAGAGCGTATCGGAGACAAATGATTCAAATAGCCAACTCAACTAATCCCCTCTCGATCTCCCTGTTATGAAACACACTTGCGATCACATTCACAGAAATAGGCGTTGTTATTTTGTTGTCAACTAATCCCCTCTTGATCTCCCTGTTATGAAACACACTTGCGATCACATGCACAGTCCCAGAAATAGGCATTGTTATTTTGTTGTCAACTAATCCCCTCTTGATCTCCCTGTTATGAAACACACTTGCGGTCGCATGCACAGTCGCAGAAATAGGCCTTGTTATTTTGTTGTCAACATTGCATTTTTCTGACTGGAAATAAGGTGCAAAAATGATAAAAATTCTAGCAGTGAGTGCAGGATGCCTTCCTCTCCCGAGTCCGTCCAGTTTAATATCATCACTGTCATTAGCTGCTTCTATGTTTTGATTAATGACCATCGGATAGGTTTTCTGAAATAAACTTATATCTCCAGAATGTTATGTTTGTCTAATTACGAGATAGCATGTTTTGAACATTATTTCACTAGATACTTATTTATAGATCTTGAAATAAAGTTTATTGTTAATCCATTCGTTTTGGTTGCAGATACCTGGGCTGGTAAATGTGGATTTTGCAGATGTAAAGGCAATCATGAAAGATTCTGGTACTGCTATGCTCGGAGTTGGGGTTTCTTCCAGTAGGAACCGTGCTGAGGAAGCAGCTGAACAAGCAACTCTGGCCCCTCTCATTGGATCGTCAATTCAATCTGCAACTGGTGTTGTATATAACATTACTGGAGGAAAAGATATTACTTTGCAGGAGGTGAATAAGGTGTCCCAGGTGCGTCGAACTTTCTTTTACTTATTTTATTTTTCCAAACCTTCAACTATACATGTAGTTTCACTCTATTCCAAAAAGTTCTTAAAAGAAACCTTCAGCTTTCACGAACAAAGCGGTATTTTTAATAGTCATTGCTTGGCAATACTTCCTCACAGGTTGTCACAAGCTTGGCTGATCCATCCGCCAACATCATATTCGGTGCTGTTGTGGATGAGCGCTATAATGGAGAGATCCACGTGACTCTAATTGCAACTGGTTTCGCACAGTCATTTCAGAATTATCTTCTAACTGACCCTCGAGGAGCAAAGCTAGTTGATAAGAGCAAAGGAACCACAGAAAGAACTTTATCACCTGATACCCTGAGGTCATCAGACTCTCCTTCCACGAAACCTCGACCAGCTGTTCGGAGGCTGTTCTTTTAGCTCCTTCTTAGTTTGTTCTCTGTCCATTCTTTTCTTTTTTTTGAATAATTATTTTTTTAGGATTCCTTACACTTATTTGTACCGCAACGGGTCAGATTTGTGTTTACATGTGGCTGTAGAAATCATGACGAGTTTTATGATATGCATACCGTCTCTGGTCTGTTTTTCTATTACAACACGCCTGTAACATTTTTATATCAGCTGATTATTTCCTCTCTAGCAAAGCATGGGATTCATAATACATCAACTTGGTTAAAGTTGGTTGCTCTTGTAATTTTCACACAAACAACCTATTTATAACAAGTAAAATTGCAGGGGCTAACCAATTTTCGAACAGGATTGAAAAATAGCTAGCATTTGCAAAGTCATTAAAAAATAGTCACTATTTTGCTGCAACACGGAAAATTCCAGCATAATATATTAGAGATTGGAGCACCTGTGTATGAACTTCCAGCATATTATGCTGAAACTCATTCACATAAAAAATTCGAACTCCAGCATATTATGCTGGAATATTTTTCGGATTTTGAACAATGTTTTTGTTCAGATTTATCTTTAAATAAAAAAAGGCTAAATTTCAATTACTTTGAAACTGCGCCTATTTTTGAATTTCACCCGATTACCTCAACTTTTTATCAAGTTTGGGCTAGAAATACCGCTCCTATTGGCAGATATAATCCTTAGAATTCACAACTGAAAGTTCAAAACCATTCTGGACATAGTATGTGTATGTAGTGAATCCTCATATGATGATGTTTTTGATACGACGGGAGTCATTTTTCAGGAAGAAATTTTTCATGAGAAAATCATAATTCTGGTGTATGGGTACGTAAGATGTTCTTCTAGGAAAACATTTTCTATCAAAAGGAGGGAAATGACTTTACTCGCTTATGAATGGAAGTCTTTTTTTATAAATATTTTAACTTTTTTTTTTTTTTAATTTTTTCTCACTTGCTTCCACAAACTATTAGACATTATTATCAATCTTTATACTCAGAAAATTTCAGCAGACCGCTGTTCGATTTGCTTATATTTATTTTAATCTTTAATGTCTTGTGCGTTGATATTTTTTAGTCACCAATTAATTATCTAAGTAAATATTTTTCATGAAAATTGATTTCCATCGTACTAAAAACACTTTTAATGAAAAAGACAGGTGTGCAGAGAGCATTCTATTATCAATCGCGTGTCTCCTAATCCGTATACTACTCTTACTCTCAAAAGGTAAGAGTGCCAAAACTAGTGTCATGACTCATGACCAAAAAAAGATGCTCATCAACTTCTCTATTGCTTGCGGGAATATCAATGTTTTTAAAACTCATCTATTCGTTGCTCAAAGCGAGGATTTATCAGCGATTTACGGAACTTTGCGCTTCATACAGTGGTGCACAAGTGATGCCAGAAAGAATCGGTCGCTTCTTTAAATCACGACTGTTCAAGAAATTGGATTAAATCAATATAATTGTCTATTAAATGCTAATTTTAACTGCAATTTAAGTTTTACTGTAATAAATATATGGATGTTTGATATTTATTTTTAACATTTCCTGTAAATTGTGCGATTCACTTCAAGAAGCATGTGCTTAACTTCTCAATTTTCGCGTCAAGCGCCATGAACCTTGTGACTTTTTTGCACTTTTTGCTTTTAATAATACTACAAAAGATAGGCAAAAGTAAATCGCAAAAATTATATAATTCTCTTATGAACTGATAAACGTCCAAGGAGGAATACGTGCTACCAAAACTCAAGTGGGTGCCGATAAGTCTTTGACCCCAAAAATCCATCGAGTTCAAACTCGAGTGACATTTTGTGATTAGTATCATATTTGAGGAATGGGTTTAGTCCTCATGTGGTCGCAATTAAAATCCGAAACGGTCATTTTTTAGCCAAATCTGGACCCATAACTGCAAAGTTTTAAGACTCTATACATTCAATCCATGAGTCAATCAACACCTCAACTTAAAGGATCAATAGGTTAAAAATTCGTGGAAGAACAGTACAGACAATGTGATTTCTAATACAAAGTTCCACACAAATTTGATTATGATTCATGTGATTGAAATATTAACATTTGCTCCTCACAAAGAAGAAAGAATTGCTGCATAATTTAAGACATCCCTTAGAAAAACGAGGCAAACAAGCTTTAACAATTTTTCAAGTTTGAAAACATGCAAAGTAGAACATGAGCTTAGAATATGTCGTCAATACAGAAAAGTCAATTATCACTATCATGGAACATATCAAATCACCCAAGCAATGCATGAAAAGAGAAGCAGAGGGACATAGTTCTTTTGCATTTACAGTTTACCTTTTTTTCCACCCATTTACAAATACTTTATCAACATATATATAACTGCAACAAGTAGTACAATCCCAATCACCGATAAAAGCATGCACATGCAAGAGCAACCACCCTTTGTGCGTTTGTTCAAAACTGCAAGCTTCCTCCCAACTAGCTGTTTAATTATCAGCAACAACAAGAGGGAACAGTAAGTTAAATGTGAACAGAGAATTATCACCAAGACAGTATTGTAGAAGTAAAAGATAAAGGAAAGAACACCTTGCCCGAGACACATTCAATGTCCTCCAACTCGCACAGGTGTGCATAAAAGCGGAAAACTGAAATCTTTCATCAATATTACCAAGATTCATAAGATATAACAGCTTTGTTAACATGCATCGAGGTCTCTTATATTCTCCTAAGAGCCCAGAGCTGGAAGTTCTTTGACCATGAATATTATGTTTAATATTTTTTGTCTGATTGCAAGTTCATAAGTATCAAAATAATATTACATTTTCTTTTCTTGTGTTCTCTTTGTTTTCTTTGCCACCCAAAGCTCCTAGACAACATGCTTTAATATCAAATGTGGACGGATCTAAAGCTTCTGGATAAGATTGTGGATTCGAGTAACTCTGTAATTTGCAAACTTTCCTAATTTCCAAAGATGATGGCATTTCACCTTTCTTCATCAATCATGCACATTTTTTTGAGACTATATAGCTATATTTGCACATCAAACAAAATAGATCATGCATAGAAGTAGTTTATTTCACAGTGGACAATTATAAGCTCAAAAATTCTAGAAACTTCACCATGTCTATGAGTATCTGTGGTGCACAACACTATGTTTAGTAAAAATAGTTAGTTTGTCCTTCCTCATCCATGTGTACTCCAGGAAATTGTCACATGCCCCTCTTCTTCCTTTTTTCTTTGGTGCGGTAAAGCATTAGGTTTATACATGAAGATTGAATAAACGCTTAAAAGGAATAATCAGCTTGCTTATAGCCTGTTTGGCCAAGCTTCTTTTTAGCTAAAAGTGCTTTTTTTTGTCCAAAAGTGCTTTTTTCTAAAGTTAAGGTGTTTGGCCAAGCTTTTAGAAGGAAAAAAATGTTTTTGAGTAAAAGCACAAACAGTTTTCGAGAAGCAGAAAAAGTAGCTTTTTCCCAAAAGCACTTTTTTTGAAAAGCACTTTTGAGAAATATACACTTAGAAGCACTTTTTAAAAAGCTTGGTCAAAACTAATTGCTGCTCAAGAATGCCTTTTAAATTAATTAGCCAAACACAAACTACTTCTCACCAAAAGTACTTTTTTGAAAAGCACTTTTGAGAGAAACACTTTACAAAATAAGCTGATTTTAGAAGCTTGGCCAAACATGCTAGCCTCATCGCTTGATTCCATACATATGGTGCATAGCCTGGAACATATTTGGAATTGAACAGTTGATGACAAGAATGGTTAAAAAGATGCTACAGAGGTTGAAGTCAAAGAGCTGGAGGCAGAGGAGTGTCCCTATTAGTGTCACAATCCTATTTTTTGTTTCTGGATTACATGTTCGTAAATAATCATGTTAAATGCTGACCAAAAAATCACGTTAAAACACTTTGTATGTGGAGATTTCCCATCAAACCGATAAACTGTTACCTCAATAAAAAGGATGAATTTTGCTTAGAGCATTCAGCGCCAATCCAACCCCCACCCACAAAAACCGACAGTAAAAAACTTGTTTTCTAGGGTCATAAGCCACACATATTTAACAATTATCAATGTCATCAAAAGGGACGCATTAACTCTGCCTATGTACAAAGCATAGCCTTCCCTGTATAAATGAGGCAGGCTGCAGTAAGTTCATGGCTAGAGTAACAAAAAGTTAAATTATGAAGAATTAAGAATGGGGATTCATATAGCGAAAGGACCCAAATGGTATTGACTTCAACACTCGAACTCACTTGCATCAGTTCTTCAAAATCAACGAATGACCAAAAGCCAAGAAGAAAAGGATGTTGTGGGGGTGTAATAACTTAATTTAAAATTATTCCACATGTATCATATACGAACTCAACATGGAATAGCTTTTTTTCTTTTCTCCAACTAAACGTGACATGATTACTTATCCCCAATGATGGACCTCCCTAGAATATTTTCGTGAAAGCTGAAAGATGTTTGTAGACTCTTAGTGAAGTTATGAAGTGCAATACCAGAAAAATTAGTACCAATGTTAACAACCAACAATATCAGGTTTGCATGAGTTGTTTCAAAAGCGACAAAGTTGTCACCTGAAGTCTTGAGTCAGTAACATCAACATGTTCATCCAGGTCATCCTGCATTGAGTGAGACAACGAAAGCAAGATGAAGTCAATATCCAACTTCAATAGTAGAAAAGCCATATTTCACAGGGAAATATCTGTAGAGGTAGTTCAGTAGGAACCAGCAAAATATAAACTCATACAATGAGTCTTGTTTGCAAGCCTAGCTCCTCATTAACAGCCAATGCTATATGTTTGGTGCTTATCACAGTCTCCTCTAATTTCTCAAGCCCCTCGTCTTGTTCTGCATTAATAATAAAGCCAACATATAACATACAAATGAAACAGAAAAGCCAATAGCAAGAGAAGTTTTCAAAGTATATAAAAACTTGCCCTTCATAATTTGCCTTTGAAGACCAACAACACCATAATTATCAAGGCCTGTAGTTCTGCTAATAGCATCTGCTGCCTTTGTTTCTGGTCCAAGCAAGCTGTCCCTATTGGCAAAGTTCGACATATTCAATGTGGAGGCCATTTGGGTTGCTTTTGATTTTAAATTTGCAAGCATATCCTTCCGACGATTCATCTCTTTCTCTGTCCTGCACACAAAGACGAAAAAGGCTTAACAAATCTATATAGAAGCGACATATAAAGAGTAATGGCTATTAGGCCCACTGTTGTCAAAAGCTCGTTTGAGGCGCGCTTAAGCCCTGAAGCTCAAAAAAGCTCAGGGAATGCGCTTGTGTGCTTCATTGCCTATAAGTTCTACCTTGAATAAAGTGGTACAAAGCAAAAAATATGATTGGCAAAAAGATATATTAATTGTTTCCGAAATCATTATGAATGAAATTGTCACTTGTTTCTTGCATTACATATTTTTATTTTATTTCTTCACTGCGCCTTTTTTGAGATGGATTTTCTTCACTGCGCCTTCTTTAACTAAAACCCACACTTTAATTGTGTTTTGCGCTTAAAGTGCTGATAGACTTGGAATGCTTTTTAATGCTTTTCGCCTTTGACGACACTGATTAGGCCAACTTGTTCAACGAGATATATGGATAGACAACTGCTACAAATTCCTGTAAAGCTTGCCCCCCTCCCCCCTCAAGATTTGAAAGGATACTATTTCCCAAGTACAAAAGTAAAAGTTCTGCAAACTAACACAAGTTACACAACTAAGACTCTGGACATCGTTAAATATTAACAGTGACTACAAAAGAGAGCCTCGGGTTATGGAAATACTTTCTCTACTATAATCCTCCATGTGGACAATTCACCAACAACTTATGGATTAAACTACAAGAATTTGATACATTCAAACAGCATTATGCAATAGAAGACTCAGATTAAGAAAACTCACAAATGTTGCTTTCCGGGAAGCTTAGAGTCAATAGACTGTAAGCTATCAAGCCTAGTTCCTAATATTGTGATCTTCCTCCTTATTGAAGATGAATGACGCTGTGCTTCTGGGCCTGTTGCGGGCAATGAAGTTCTTTCAGATATCATGTTACCGGTGTCATCTGTGAGTTTTACTGCTTCATTATATTCCCTGATCCACGAGTCCCCAGAAGAAGCCATTCCCTGAAGAGACAAACGATGAATAAGGGAACGTCCATGTCAGCAAACCCTCCCTCCCCTAAAAAGAAAAAATTACAACTTCCTGTCCCCTTTTTCTGCCCATTGACACTGATTTGACTAATCAAAAAACACTGCAATGGAACTGCAAGAAGACCTCATCATATGACATGCACCTTCCTTACCATCACTCGATAAGCTTTGCCAATTGCCACAACAACAACCGGGAAAAAGAAAAGCATGGCAAAACAAAGGGCGAGGAACCATGTTTAAGTAAATCCAAAAACCTTAGGGTGTGTTTGGTATAAGGATAATATTTTCCAGAAAATGTTTTTCACTTTGCCCACGTTTGGTTGGTTTAAATGTTTTGGAAACATTTTCCTCGTGAACTCATTTTCTTCCAATAGAAGGAAAATGTTTTCCTAAGATAAGTGAAAACATTTTCTAAAACTCTTTTTCAGCTTTCCCCATCCCCACCAACCTCCACCACCCCACTCCCACCCCCTACTCCCCACCCTCACCACCCCAAACCCCCAAACCCCAACTCCCCAACACCCCAACCCCACACCCACCCCCTTTACCATTTCGTCTCTCATAGCGTTTGGCTAAGTTATACATTTTTTAAATAAAAAAAAATTCTACTCACTAACAAAACACTAGAAAATATTTTCTGGAAAAAAAATTCCACTCACCGACCAAAAATGGGAAAATAAGTGATAAAACTACTCATTTTTCAAGAAAATATTTTCCTTCATACCAAATACACCTTTAATGCCTTATATTTTTTCCAAATATTTTCCTTCATACCAAATACACCTTTAATGCACCACTATCCACCTTTAGTTTAGAAGCCATAAAGAAACTAGAGGAACATTCTGGACTGGAACTTGGCATTTGTTTCACCAAACATGTCATTTGTGGTTCTCTACAAAAGTACGTAAAAGCTTAACTCCTTCCCAACTCTCCACAATGAACAATCAACAAAGCACCAGAAAGAAGATATTGGAGAAAGAAATCAGAATAAAAAGACTAAATCTTCCATATAACCTTCGACCAAGAAACAATCTAGCACTTTATTCATATTGAAGAAACAATCGACAAGAACAGAGAGAAGATGGAGAGGTGAAACAATCAGAGTGACAAGCCTAAATTGCCTATACAACCATTGACCAAGAAACATCTAGCACTTAATTGATCTTGAAGAATGGACGCATCTTTACTAGCTTCGTAATGATCCTAGAGCCGGCTAGAGGCAAGCAGAGAATTCAACTAAAGAAGATAAAAGGATAAAAGAAGAAACCCATAAACCAGCAGCAACAATTGCATTAGCAAGTGAATTGTTGTCAAAGGCGTAAAGGTTTAAAAGCGCTTCAGGTCTATTGGGGCTTTAAGCGCAAAGAACAGTTAAAGTGTGGCTTTAGTAAAAAAGACGCAAAGAAAACATAAAAATATATATGTAACGCAAAAAAAGAGTAACAACTTCATTCATAATGTTTTCCTCAACAATTAATATATCTTTTTGTCAATTATATTTAATGTTTAGTGCCGCTCCATTCAAGATTAGAACGCATGGGCAATAAGGTGCATGCCTTAGTGCTTTGCCTACACTGAAGCGCACCTTAGGCGAGGCGAAGTGCCCTCCCTAAGCATTTTTGAGCTTCAGGGGTTAAGCACGCCTTAAATGAGCCTTTGACAACATAGTTTGCAGCTAGAAAGTAGCAGGTGCAATAGCAACCAACCCACTATCAAGAACAACAAAATCTTCAACTACAACTTACAGAAAAATAAAGAATAACACCAGTTATTTTAGACATCCTAAACATAACTGAAATTAAGTGATAGGAATATGTGTATGTCAATCAGCTATTGCGTTGAAGTTAATGTACAGCTTGCTTCCAGAGATAAGCTAATTGCTAATTTTCTTCTTCTTTTGCCAACCGTGGTGTCAAGACTTGCTTGTACCGAGTACCTACTACCTCCAACCGGCACAGGTACCGGATAACTCTGTCACCAAGGCATAAGCAGATATGAAGAAATCACCTATGTTTTTTTTGCCTACGCTGGGATTTAAGTGCTAATTTTCCCTTCCAGAAGTATAAAATTGGGCTACAAAACATGCTAAATGGCAGTCAAAGCAGCAACAACTATATCAAACAACCTGTAATTCCAAGTCCACAACAGAGCCTGTGCCTCGTACCATCAACATATACTACAAGAGAACCACGAAATTAAGAAATTTAATTCTTAAATTACAACAGCAAAGAGAGAAATGACAAGTAGAATGCTAAATAATTGAGTTTAAACACCAGGAACACCGCTGAATTGCGGGTGATTAAATGCCACTCGAGTTAATTAAGTTTAATAATCAAGAACCCATTAGGAACAGTCCAATTAGGGAGAAAAAATATCAGGATCATCAATACATGCGTATGTAATATGTGAAAGGCAGAAAAGATGTTACCGTTTATTGGTGGAACTGAAATTAATGGTGAGGTGAGAGAATTTACAGAGGCTGAATGACTTTTTGAAGAAGGAATCAGCCTACTTTCCGGCAATGTTTGTCGAGCTTTATTGTCGTCGTCGTCGTCACGCCCACTCGGACAATGATAACTTTAGAATTTCTCATTGTGAAGCGACTCTTTTGACTTTTTTGTTTACGATTTTTCCTTTTTCTCTTTTTAAAAAAGAAAATATGTCTGTGCCCCTCTGGTGAGTTTTTGGCAGAAAACATCCCTTATCTATACCTTAAACTTAAACTGGATCCTTAGACTATCACATTGAACAAAGAACATCCTCCAAGTAATTAAAGCGTAACAAAAAAAATCATTCCCTTAGGGCTGTGTTGAAAAATTAACAGAGGTACCCATCACGTGCAATTCACGTGAGTTACACATTTACAATTATCTTCTCTCTTCCCTAAGAAACGAAGATATGATGAGCTTTCCCGTGGACAAAAACATCTACAGGACTGCAATGGCGTTAGAAGGCAAAGAATGAATATATGGAGTAATAATTTTTGTCGAATATTATACAAAAAATGCTGCATTTTATTTTATTCTAGTTTCATCTCAACCTTGCTAAGTTCTCCACTATGCCACAAATAGTTGAGCAATTTGTAGCCTGCAGGTCACCATTTCGCAGATGACATGATTAAAAGTTATGAATTTTTCCTAGAACGTCAAAAGATTTTTGTTCCTCTTTCAAACAATACACTATATAGAAATTATATTTTGTTTGTGAACCATGTACATAACCGATGAGAGACAAATTCGGTCAAGCTTCTTGGAGGTCAAAAGTACTTTTTACTTCCAAATGTTGGGTCTTGTATCTACCTCATCGATTTAAAGAATGCTCAAATTAAGACTTTTGAAACATCTAAGAAAATTCAGGAAAAAACCAAGCCAACTCAATAATAAGAATCTATGCCAATAACTGAACGAGGTTCAGCGAAAATCCATAACAGTTCATCCCTCAAACCACTGAAGAAGCACAGTAAAATCACTGGGTAATCTTAGTCCTGTTTGTTCGTTGTTTTCTACTTTGTATGTGGAGGTTATTATTCAAGGTTTGAGTGAGTTTGGTGTTTTTAATTTTGTTATTTCAATTGCTCACATACAAATGTTGATAACTCGTAATACTTGTTTAGAAAAGAGCCAGTTTCTTTGTTTCTTCTAGCTTTTAATTTGTTTGTTCTCTCAAGAAATAGAGAAGACAATGTGGGTCTCTAATTTGGAGAACTTTAATGGCAAGTCGCAGGTGTTGCACATGTCGGTTGGGTCTGTTAATTTTTTAACTGCCACCTAACGGAGAGATGAATCTTGATAATTATTGGATACTTGAAGGATGTTTTTTGTCAATGTCGTAGTTTAAGGATGTAGTGCAGATTTGAATTATAGTTTAAGGATGTTTTTGGCCATAAACGCGGAAGGGTTGGGTTCCACTTGCAAATTGCAGCGGAATATGCACGGCGCTAATTGTAATGAATCCTCTAAGGGTATGTTTAGAAAGTTACATGGTAAATGAAATTGGTGTAATTACTAACAGCCTAGTAATTGTATGGGTCAAACTCCGGCTTAGGAAATCAGGCGTGAGAAGATCGTTATGTGAGAAGACTGTGTTTCGATTTGGGCGGCCAGGCCGAGGTCGAGCAGCGAAGAATAGGAACAACGGCTAGTGTAGTCTTGGGACTAGCGATAGGAATATTCTCTTTGTTGTACTTTTTTAGGATTTTTAGAGATCATCCCATATAAATAGAAAAGGGGAGAGAGGGAAAGGGGCACGTGAGATTCGTTCTGGGGAAAAAAAATTGTAAGAAGTTGACTCTTGAGAGAAAATACAAAGTTTACCTTTCCACAGTGATTGATTTTATTATTGTTCCTTTCCACTCACACGATCCAAGAAAGTCTTGTTCATTTTCTTACTTACTGCCATATTTCGTTGTTAGAAGGATGTATCTTCCACATCATTTGATATTTGGATGAATTGTTCTTCCTATTTACATTTACTACCACTTTCCATATTGATTGCTCATCACTCATCCTTCATTTATTCTCCCAAGCATGCATTTAATGATTTGATAACCGACCCCGGGCATTAAGTAGACGGTATCATTTAAATACTTAGCTAGATCTAGGAATTATTATGTTTGACTAGGATTCACCTCCGCCTTAGTTATCTTTTAATTAGTTTAACAAAAAGTGTTATACTTTTTGGTCAAACAATTTGGCGCCGTCTGTTGGGAGTTTCTAGTCAAAATCATAGTCTTTCTAGATCTGCAAAAACACGCCAATAGCAAAATACAAAACTTTCTTTCCCCTACTTGCATAATATAACATGGCAGGAAATAGAGAAGAAAGACTAAAAGCAGTGGCAGGCCTTACTACTAATCTCATAAACACCATCAATGAAATTCACGGAGAAGACGAGGAGAACGTGACACCAAGCGCCTCACCCAAGCAAAGTGATTCACCCTCCGCCCCCCCCCCCCCCACCTTATGGCAGCGTTATCGCTTCTCATGGAAAGGGAGCCTCTACGTCCACTATGGAAGAAGCACCGCCAGCAGTAAAAAGCTAGAAGCATGGCTAACGAGTACACTGAACAGTATACTCGACAAACCCGCTTAGAGGGTGAGCAGAGAGGGTGTGTGAGTCGACATCGCCACAACAACCAATGAGCAATATACCCAGCCTCCCTCGACAGGTATCACTCATTCTGTTAATGATGCAGGTAACGACGCCCTCACTGCCATCCTTAGAAAAATGGAGGAGATGGAGAACGAGAACAAAGCATTCTGCAACCAAATGAGAGAGCATCAATAAAGGGTAGATAAGATACCGGGCGCCCCAAAACTCCTAACAAAGCGGGAAACCAGCCGGTTTGTGAAACAACCGTATAGCGACGAGGCCGTACCACATACTATACCAAAAACTTTTAAAATGCCGCCATACTTGAAAATATATGACGGTGCAATGGACCCGGAGGATCATGTGACCCACTATGTCACTGCAGTGAAAGGCAACGATCTTGCAAAAGAACAAGTATCTTCCATATTGCTGAAGAAGTTTAGAGAGACCCTAACTGGCGGAGCCCTGACTTGGTACTCGCAATTACCTGCACGCTCCATAGAAACGTTCGAGGAAATGGCCGACAAGTTCGTCATCGCCCATGTCGGGGCCGAGAAAGCGCAGGCAAGGGTGAATGACATATTCGCCATTAAGCAATCACCTGGCGAAGGACTCAGGGACTTCCTCGCTCGGTTCAACCGTGTAAGAATGACTCTTCCGAATGTATCTAAAGGAATGGCGGTGGCCGCTTTCCAGAATGGGCTGAGGAGAAGTGGGCCGCAGGTGACCAAAAAGTTTCTAGGTCGACTCATGAAATACCATCCAACCACTTGGGACGAGATACACAATGCCTACTGTGTCGAGGTAACAGCTGATGAGGATGATCTCAACGGGCCTACTCAACGCCTCACCTCGGTCCAAATGGAGTCTAGGATAGACCGAAGAAACTTCGGCAGAAGAGATCTAGCAGGGTCACGGCCTAATCGAATAAGACATCAGCCTTACGTCAGAGGCACTCTCATGTCGCCTCCACGTCACGACGAAGGTCCATCCAGGCCGTGAACGGGAATCCACCGAAATGAAAGAGGTATGCCCCCTTTATTATTAGCTCACAATTTTTGTGTCTCCCCCTCAGAAATAGTCTACGCATTGGAAAAGCTCGGCCAAAAGGTAAAATGGCCACAGAAGATGAAGTCCGACCCAAGCACCAGAAAGTCAAACACCTTCTACGAATTCCACTAGGAACGGGGTCACAAGATCAAGGACTGCATCACCCTTAAACAGGAGGTCGTGAACATGCTTCACCAAGGGCACCTGAAAGAGTTGATGAGCGATCGAGGGAGGGCCAACTTCGCCTGAGGGCGAGAACAACATCAGGGGCCGCCCAAACCATCTTCCCAGTTCGGACCATTCAAATGATCATCGTAGGAGGCGACGACGCATCCATCAACAGCGTGAAGTTCACCACCACTCACAAGCTCAAGCGGTCAATCACCCACGAATGGTATAACGAACTCTTAGAAAGTATCATCTTCGATAAGTCGGATACCCACGGTTTGGTCTTTCCTCACTATGACGCCCTTGTCATTACTTTACGTGTTTTTGATATTGATGTAAGACGTATCATGGTCGATGATGGAAGTGGTGCGTGCATCATCCATCCTCGAGTTCTCACCCAAATGGAGCTCGAGGACAAGTGCCACGTCGCATCACGCTAACAGGTTTTAACAATGCAGTTGAGCAGACATCTGGAAAAATCACGCTGCTCGGGCGGCGTCACCTTGGAGACCACGTTGCACATCATGGACCAGGATACGACGTACAACGCCATCATAGGCCGACCATGAATACACGCCATGAAAGTCGTCCCCTCCAGCTTGTACCAATTCATTAATTTTCCCACCCTCTAGGGAGTATTCTGCACCCGGGGAGAGCAATGCACGGCCCGAGAATGCTACCGCATCGCCCCTGACTGCAAGTACACCCAACAGTTGAAAGGAAATGCCGAGGAAGCATAGCAATTAACGAAGTCGGGGTCGGATAGCGATGAAAAGAAAGATGCCATCAGCGACCCTGAAATCATAGAAGCCAAGGGGTCGACCGTAAAGGACCTCGACCCCGTCCAACTAGATGACGACAACCACAGCAAGAAAGCTTTCATCGGCCATAAACTCCAAGATCCAGGTAAATTTCATCAATTCTTAAAAAATAACGTAGACCTATTTGTTTTTTCCCATGCGGACATGCCAGGTATCCTAAAGGAGATTGCAACTCACAAGCTGAACGTCGACCCACTTTACCCCCCAGTAAGGCAAATCAGACGAAAGTTCAACTCTGCAATAAATGACGCAGTTCGTGAAGAGGTCGAGAAATTGTTGGCGAACGGTTCTATCAGAGAATCGAAGTACCCTCAGTGGGTCTCCAAAGTAGTCATGGTGAAAAAGAAGAACGGTAAGTGGAGAATGTGCGTGGACTTTATATATCTGAACAAAGCCTGCCCAAAAGACCCGTTCCTGCTGCCCCACATCGACCAACTCATCGACGCCACAGCCGGGCACGAACTGCTCAATTTCTTGGATGCCTAATTGGGCTACAACCAAATCCTCATGGAGGAGGAGGACCAGGAAAAAAACCACTTTCATCACCCATCAGGGGACGTACTGCTATAGAGTGATGTCGTTCGGGTTAAAAAATGCGGGGGCAACATACTAGAGGCTGGTGACCAAAATGTTCAAAGATCAACTTGGCAAGACCATGGAAGTATATATAGAAAATATGTTGGTCAAGTCAAAGAGAAAGGAAGACCATATCGACCACCTGAGGGAAGCCTTCTGTTACACCCCATGTTTTCGTACTTAAGAGTACGTCGTAAGTCAATTGATGTAAGCTCAGAAATGAAATCATCTTTGAAAAAAATTTATAAAGTAAGTTAATCATGTTACCGTGGAAGTTAATAATATTTAAGATCATGAATAACAAGTACCAATATGGTTGGAAGGCTTAGAAGCTAAACGAATTGAAGAAGATAAGTTTTGTCGAAAGTCGACAAGTTTGGTGTTACACCCTGTGCGTTCTAAGGTGACGTATAATGAATATGAGACTTGTTAATCATGATTGAATGAGTGTAAATTAATAATATTACTATATATGATGTTTGGACATAAAATATAAAGTTTGGGAAAAATTGGACTTAACTTATGAAAAAATCGAGTTAAGATTTGCCTTGTAACGAGCCGTTTTGAGAAATTAAATTCGTAAGCTTTATGATGTCATTTTGGGACATATATCATAGCAAAACGAAGATCTTGGAACCTAGTTTCCAACGGTCCAAACCATTTATTCATACGATATCGGGGTAGAGAAATATGTATTTTTAAAGTAAGGGTCACAAGTCACGTTGCCGCACTTCGGAGAAACTGGCAGGTTTATAGGCCAAGTTGCGACGCAGTTTTCTCCCAATATATTGAGAGTTACATGGAGATATTTATATGGAATTAAATCTCTATGTGTCTAGTTTCCAACTGCAAACTGTTTGTCAATACAATATCGGAGTAGAGAGATACAAAAGTGGTACTGCTCAAGCTGTCAAGCAGGCATCTTACCCACCTGCTTGGAGAATTGAGGCGGTGGGCTTATAAGTTGTTTTTATCCATTATATTTTGTCAATATCCAGAGATCAATTACTGCAAAACACTCTCAAACTCTAAAAGAAATTGTCCAAGGTTCCAAGAACTAAACTCAAGAGAAATCAACTCAAATCCTCATCAAAGGTGTTAAAGACTACAAGAGAATACTTCTATGATGTTGTGGTGTGATTGAGGGCTATTGTGAGCTAAGTTGGGATGGGGTTTCGAGTTGTAGCTGTTGTCCAAGGTATGTATAGCATATTCTTGATTGTGCCTAAGTTTAATCTTGTGTTTGTTGTGTTGTTTGAGTGAAAAACCATAAGATTCACTTGAAGGAACATGGGATACGGTTGTCTTTTTAGTTGGACTGTTTTGTGGTTAAAAATATGATTTGTGGTGGCTGAAAATTGTGAGAAATAATTTGATAATGTTGTGGCTGCTATTGTTAAGATTTCCTAGGTGTTAATTAAGTTGATTGAAGAAGAAAAGATGAAAAACAAGTGATTGACGATAAAAATTAAGGTGCTAGATGTATGGGGCTATTTTGGAAGGCATTTTGTGGAGGTTTTAAACTAGAAATAATATGGTACATATAAGTATGATGCTCCGAAGGTTATAAACTAATTTATGGAATAAGAGTTGGATTCAATTTATATCTTGTTATGAGCAAAAGAAACGAGCTTGCCGCTCAATATGATTGTAAAGATAATCGGAGAAACTCATATTGGATTATACTGTTGTTGTTGTTGGTGTTGATTATAGTTGTTGTTGTCGGGTTGTTGATGACCCTTAGTGGTCTTTGGGATGTATTAAAAATAGGGGAGTTGCTGCTCGATTTTCCTTAAGTCATGCGACTAGCCAAATACGATGGTACGACATTATATGTTAACGACAATATCATTTCACTTGTTGTAGATGCAAGAAGTTGTGCTGAGCTTGGTTGAGTAATAAGGAGGAGATCATATAGGTATTTTAAGGCTATCCCTTCTTTATTTTTGGCATGATCTATACAACACAAACGAAACGAGCAAATGCACAATTTCTATAAATGACTCTATTCGTAGAAATACTAGAGATGCCTTTGTTCTTGATTCCCTATATGTCTTATTATTCTATCGTCTGTTCATGGGTCTCAGAAAATACGTAAATTGATAAAGTTTATTTCATGATGTTAACCAGAGGCATAATGGTCTTATGACGTGCCAAGAGATTTTATTAACGTATTTCATATGCATTTCATGCATTCATACATGCACATTGACCCATGACCAGATGGCGTTATATACGCGTACATATATATATATATATATATATGGGAAAGGTTATGGCGTTATATCCGCGCCACCACCTAATCAGCTGGTATACGTTGATGATTTTGCCCACAGTGGCCGAGATGATATGATGGGATGCCCTCAGAGGCTTGATGATATTATGAACACATGTATCTATGCACGACATGACATTCATACGCATATGCATGACACTATAAGTATTTCATGATTTACAGAGTTATCCACACTTACAGGTTGAGTCACTTACTCTATATTTCTTCCATGTCTTTTATGTACTTATTTATGTGCCTTAAATACTCAGTACATTATTCATACTGACGTCCCTCCTGCCCGGGGATGCTGCGTTTTATGCCCGCAGTTCCTGATAGACAGGTCGAGAGTCCTCCAAGTAGGCTATCAGCTCAACGGAAGATATTGGTGCGCTCCATTTGCTCCGGAGTTGCTTGTTTGGTCAGTATGATTTAGACGCGTATTGTTTGGTATGGTGGAGCCCTGTCCCGACCTTTATGATAAATATGTACTCTTAGAGGCTTGTAGACAGATGCCATGTATACGAATACTTGTATGGCCTTGTCGTCCTATGTTTCGAGTGTTAATACCCAATTTTTCCCTATATATTTTTAATATGAAAAACACATTCAAAATAGCATATATGCATACATAAGCATGTCCAAGTGTTTTACTATTTTTTCCATAATTTTTAAAGGCTTAAATTAACTTATTTTCCCCTTTTTATCCATAAAATTCCCAATAATTATTTCCAAGATGATTATCTTGAGAATTCTTCTATTTGATTTTTATATTTATGCCAAAATATGGCTAAGGTAAATTTTACATATTTTTACAATTATATTTAGTATTTTTTAAAGCTAAATTGCACATAATTGCAATATTAGCCATTTTAAGGTTTAATTATGTTTTATACTCATAAAATTGGATCCTAAATTTTAAAATTGTTAATTATGTATTATAAAACACTTTAGTACTTTAAATTTATTTTTAGAAACTATTTGCTATTTTTTTTATAAATTAAAAAGGGAAAACTGGCTATTTAAATAACAACCCCTTTTGTATTTCAATTATAGCCTAAATCAAACCCCAATTCCCAACCCAATTATACCCACCGGACCAATCCCAAACCAAATTTTATAACCCGACCCACCTACCCACTCTCATCTCGACCGTTGATCTCCCAGATCAACGGTCCTCATTACCCTTACCATTTTAAAACCCAAACGACCCCCTAACCTAAATCATTTCTCACCAGTCCGCCGCCCTTGAATCCCCTCTCCTCTCCAATTCTCTCTGAAACCTAAAGCTAACCCTAGCCGCCACCACCCTAATTCCCTTAAATCCCCACTCAATCCATGGACTCCCATGGCTGTTTGAGCCGTATACCGGTCTCTTATGTCTCATGGTGGCCCGCTTTTGTGATTTCATGGAAAAATCTCGAAGAGATCTGGTCTAGTCCTTGCTCAACTTCTATCCATGTTCTTTTCCCGGCCATCCCTGGCCTTTCGAGTCAGATCCATGGCTTTTCCGGCTAGATCGGTAACTTTTCAAAGTTTTCTTACTTTTTCTTGGTTCTCCGAAACCCTAGCCTTAAAGACCTTCGATTTTCTTTCAGATCTGTCTTAGATCTGTGTATTTCATGAACCTCCTGGTGTTTTCTCAAAGGTTTTTCCGATTTTTCAAAGTGGCTCTTCGTCTTCAAAGATCAGGGTTTTTCTTAACCTCTTTTAAAAGACTTCTCTTCTGATTTTTATTTTTGTCTTATGATTTTACTATGTTTAGACGGTC